AAAAGGGGACGGACAGAGAATGATACTTTTTTTTTTACAAGAAGAAGAATATTATCATTAATAAATAGCCATACGACATCTACAACAATAATAAAGATTTGTAAACCACATATCTAGAGAAAATAACATAACTTTTACATTCAAAATCATAACTATTTTGCATATCGGGCATAGCTCACACTCCACCGCTTCAAACATGACGCGAGTAGTGATTTTCGATGTCTTTGCATCTTTCCAAATAGAGACCTTCGCAATCTGCGCTGATGTTTTGATCGTAGAGTTAATGACGAACCCTAAACCCATATGAATCCAAATCACCTTCTCAATTATTATTAAAACCCTAAAGATAAAATTCTCATCCATAGATGAGAATCAAAATCCCAAAAAATTGGGAAAAACCCACAAAAATTGGGACAAACTCTCACAAACGGAGAGAACAAAACAAAGCAAAACAAATCAAATAAAAAAAAAGCAAATTAAATTGAAGAAAAGGGTTGAAAATAGTCTAATTTCCGAAGAAATTAGACTATTTCCGACCTAAACGGCCAAGAAAATTGAAACCCTAAAGAGAGGAGAGAGGAGAGAGAAGAGAGAAAAGAGAGAAAAGAGAGAAGAGGGAGGCGGCTAAAAAAACGACAGAGTATGATACTATACCTATATTAATCTTTGTATTTTATATCAAAAGTTAACCACAGAAAAGCATATATATGAATCGTTAGCGAAACTCAAGCAATTCATTTTTATTGAATAAACAGATTTGTTTAGTCATCAATTTTTAAAGTATATATATAATATATCTACCCAATTTTAGTTTGTTTTCTTGATAGGTATCAAGTATATATATAATACGGTCTGGCAGTTCGGTTTGACCTCAGTTTGAAACGGTTTCGGTTTGAAACGGTTCGGGTTAAAACGGTTTCATTTAGACGGCGGGTCGGTTCAGTTCGGTTTTGATTAGTCACAGGTCGGTTCGGTTTCGGTTTATTTTTGTACGATTTAAATTCGGTTCGGGTCGTAAACGGTTCGGTTTATAAACAGTTCGGGTCATAATCAGATCGGTTAGAAACGGGTCGCTTCAGGGGCGGATTTACTCGGGTCAATGCCGGTTCGGTTTTTAAACGGTTCGGTTAATAATCGGGTCAGTTTGAAACAGGTCGGTTCAGGGGCGAGTTTACCCGGGTCAATGCCCGTTCGGTTTATAAACGGTTCGGGTCATGATATGACCGGTTTGAAACGGATCGGTTCAGGGGCGGTTTTACCGGGTCAACTTCGGTCCGGGTTCATATCGGTTCGGGTCATGAACGGATTATTTTGAAATGGGTCGGTTCAAGGGCGGGTTTACCCGAGTTAATGCTAGTTCGATTCATATCGGTTCGGTTTATACTCGGTTTGGTGCTAAAATCGTTTGGGTTAGTTTGGTAATCGGTTAATTGGATCGGGTTGAAATCGAGTTCTAAAAAGTGGTTTTGACCAGTTAGCGCATTTTGTTTTATATCAAGTTGGGACTAATATTTCCATTTCATTAGCGGGTCGGCATAGGTTGGTGAAAAAAATAATGGATCGAGTAGAAATTGGGTTTTAAGAGATTTTTGACCGGTTAGCTATTTTCGTTTTATATAAAGTTGGGACTTCGTCACTTTATTTTCAGACATCGGATTATATACAATTACACAAATCTTCATTTATTCAATTATTCTATATCATGTTAATATGTTATTTTTCAAGTTTGGTTATACTCTTGTTGTTGTTTATTCGATATTATCATATTAGTCTATTACAAATTTATAATGTATTAATGTATTATTGTTTCATTATTAAATATATATTATTAGGTTATCAGCTTCTTGTTGGATTGTTTTAGATATCGTGTCATGACCATGTTTTGATGAGTTGCTACTTTGAATACGATAAATCGATTCAGATATCAGATTATATAGAATTACAGAAATTCTCATTCATTCTATATCATGTTAATGTGTTATGTTTCAAATTTGGTTATAGTCTTGTTGTTGTTTATTAAATATTAGTCTATTACAAATTTATAAGGTATTAATGTATTATTGTTTCATTATCAAATATTATCAGGCTATCAGCTTCTTGTTTTAATTGTTTTAAAGATCGCGTCATAACCATGATTTGATGAATTGGTACTTTGAATACGATAAATCGATAATTGATATTGTAATAAACTAATAATTTAATGTTACAGAACTATATTTGGATGTTTAATTAAAATCACGATTATTCAATTTCCCATTAGTCTAATAAAGTAATAATTGACAATTGTTTGTAACTATTCCATAATTTTGGTGTTAAAGTTATATTGCTGAATTACTTTGTTGTCTTACCCTCTCTAATCACCTTTTAAGATTACGTGCCTACAAGGCTGCAACATATATATGTTGCAACTTGCATGTTAAAGAAAACGAGTGGGGAAGTAGAAGTATTCAATTAGATCGATCATCAACTGTTTTAAGTTTTAATAATCAGATACATTTATCGATTATCTATACATACCAATGATAGTATGATACCAATCGTACCATACATTATTATTTATTACATATACTGATATACATATAACTAATATACATTAAATATGTCATACTGGATCAATTCCAATTTCCAAACATTTGTGTTTCTTACAATTTATAAGTTACATAAAGTTAAGAGCACAGTAGTGTTTTTATTAGTACGTAGCTATGAATAAAAAAAAACATACTATCCAAATCCATTATCCCATGATCCGTGTCACCGTCTTATATTAAATATCAGCCATTGATTTGCATGTCATCTAACGGCCTATCATCGCACACATTCCAATTCACGATCCGTGTGTTTTCTTTTCCACCAATCAGATCACTCTTATCATCGTCTCTTTAGTACTCTTTTTGATTTCTCTCTCGTTTTCTTAATCCTCTTCTGTAATATTATCAATTTTTTGAAGCCATGGCTGCTAATATGCTCACTGCTCTCTCGTTTTCTCTCTCATCTCCTCTTCCTTCTTCCTTTCTTCTTCTTCCTTCTTCTCCCTTCTTCCGTCTATGTTCTCCTTTCTTCCATCTCGTTTCTCCGTCTCCGTCCACCAGCACCACGCACGACAGTTTTTATGGTCAAATTCGACCACGAAACTCTAGATCTAGTTGTTTCATGATCGAATTTGGCCTTTTAAAACCAAATTTGAGGCCAAATTCAGGATTAATATATAAGGTGTTTTCGTTCTTCCTTTTTTTATTTTCTGTTTTTCTTTTTAATTTTTTTTTCAAGTTGTGGGCAACGGAGGGGGCCGAGTTAGGGTGGGTGCGGCGGCGATTAGACTGGGTTCGGGTGGGTGGGGAGGGAGGATTTTTCGAGGGAGGGAGGGAGTTTTATGGTGGGTGAGCAATTAGAGTGAGTTGGGGGGTTTCGAGGATGTTGGGTTTCGTGGGGGTGTGTGGGGTGGGGTTACGGTGGGTTTGGGTTTTTTTTCGATTTTTTTGTATGGGGTGGGGTGGGGTGTGTTACGGTGGTGGTGGGTGTGGTTGGGGTTGGGTCTGTTTTTTTTTTTTTTTTTTTTTTTTTTTTTTTTTTTTTACAGTGACGGTGGTGGGAGGGGTTTGTTAAGGGGGTGGGGTGGGGTACGTTACGGTGATGGTGGTAGGTGGGGTGGGGTATGGGTCTGGGTTTTTATTATTTACGGTGACGGTGGTGGATGGGGTGGGGTAAGGTTTGGGTCTGGGTTTTTTTATTTACGGTGGGTGGTGGGGTGGGGTGGGGTGGGTTACGGTAATTATGGTGGGTGCGGGGGTGGTGTTAGGGTGGGTCTGGGTTGACGTTGGTGGGGTGGGGTGGGTTACGGTAACGGTGGTGGGGTGGGGGTGGGTTACGGTAACGGTGGTGGGTGGGGGTAGTGTTAGGGTAGGTCTGGGGTGATGGCGGGGGTGGTGTTAGGGTGGGTTACGGTGGTGGGTGGGTGGAGGGTGGTTGGATTGGGTGGGTGGCCAAATTTTTTCATTTTTTTATTTAATTTATAACTCCTAATTTAGTTATACAAGAATATAATTTTAATTTTGTAATAGCAAAAAAATTTACAAATTTAAATCAATAATTATATGTAAAAAAAATTGTATAGTTAAATTACATTAAACATCAAATATATTTCGTGGAATTCTAACAAATTGTTAAAGGCTGCAAATAGTTCAATTTGAATGGAACGGGTTGTAAACGGTTCGGTTTAAATAGTTTGTAATCGGATCGGTTTAAACGGGTTGCGGTTTGAAAATAGTTCGGTTTAAACGGTTTAATGGGTTATAACAGTTCGGTTTAAACGGTTAGCGGGTTGTAAATGGTTCGATTTAAACGGTTTTTTCCTACGGTTTAAACGGTTTCGGTTTATAAACGGTTCGGTTTAAACAGTTAGCGGGTTAACATTAATCAGTTCAAACGGTTTCGGTTTATAAACGGTTTGGTTTGTTATTGGTTTACGGTTCGTAACGGGTTAACATTAATTGGTTCGGTTCGGTTTCGGTTTGACATTATACGGTTCAGTTCGATTTTCGGTTTAAAATTAGCGGGTTATAAACGGTTTGGTCCGTGATGGTTCGGTTCGGTAACGGACGGTTTCACGGTTCGGTTTGAAAAGTCCCACCCCTATATCAAGGTATGTTAATAACATCTATCAATGATGTTGATGTAAATATTTTTGTTGTTGTTATCATTCAATTTTAAGCGTTTGATCCCTAGATTCAAATTATTTATTTAATTACTTATTTACAGAAAACTATCACTTCAGAATGAACTCACATTATTATGCCAAAGATTGCTTTGTGCAGCACCATACCGGTAGCATCATCAAGAATGAAACCAAGAAATCCTTCACTTCCGAAAACAGGGGAGACTCAAACAAACTAATTTACTATATCAAAATTAAAATACAAAGGATAATACGAATATCAACTAAAACACATGAACTAAAAGATCATATTAGGCTTTTAATTACCTAGTTAACTAACTACTACTTGCTAAACTACTTTGTACTTTGCCAAACGAATACTTCTACGACGAGGAATGAAGCTCTTATTTGAAGAGTTAACAAATTGAGCTATGAACTTGATCTCACAAGCTGAGGGATTCTCAAGGTGGAACAATTTCTCACATAACTCATGCTCTCGCCATATGGCTTCTCCTTTTGAATAGCATTGCCGGTCTAGGTACACATCGACTGATAGCAATTCTAACACTTTTCCACAACTCAAAATATACTTGATCATCTCTACATCTTCATCAGTATCACTAAGGTATTTGATCTCTACGTACTTTAACCGAGTCCCACAAGTAGGCCAATGTTCGGGCAAATTCGATTTTATAAAGTGACTCGAATGTTGAGGTAGTGATAAGTGGAACACCTCTAAACAAGGACAACATCTTAGAAGTAGCACCACATCATTCCACCTAATAAACTCAATACCACCAAGTTTAATAGAAGAGGGTCATACTGTAATCTATTAGCAAGAACATTAAAAGTACTGTAATCTATTACACGAGAAATCAAGTACGCGAGTGATGTACCACCATTACGGAAATCTTCTTCTTTCAAAGGACCATATCCTAAACGAATATCTGCTTTTTTTAATGCACCTATACTCCCAACAAATCGAACCAACATTAGACCAGGAGCCTGTAATGTAATTTCTTCCAGCTTTGACAGATTGATCACGAATTTCGGTTGCAGAAGGGTTGGTTCATCCCATTTAATAACCAATTTCTTGAGATTATGGGTCGATAAATCTACAATCTGCTCAATCATTCTAAATTTATTCGTTGACAGACTTAAATCTTCCAACAGTGGACAACACCTGAGAATTTCAGCCAACTGATGACAATTGAAGCCAGATAATTGAAGTTTCCTCAACTTCGGAAGAATCATAACAAACCCTTTATCCAGTGGCTTAATACTGACATCTCCGATTATTTTAATCTCCACCAGAGATTGACATTGAAGAATACAAGACGGTAAAGTAATATCATTTTCATTAAAACGAGTCGATTCCAATACAACCTGCTCTGGATTTCGGCAGCATATATCATGCATCCAAGATTCTATATTGGAAAATTCCTTCCACTCACTCCACAGAAAGAGATAAAAACGGTGAATCTTTGTCGAGGTGAGCTGCGGAAGGATGCGATAATCAGCCGCAGAGTTATCATGAGTAGGATGAGGAAGACAAGTTGAGGAGAAGACGATGTTGGTTATGTGAGTCCAGTGGTAACGCCATTGGTGCGATAAGACGGAGGTGGTTACGGCGGATTTGATTGGAAGGAGAGACATAATATGTATAAGGATGGCGTCTGGGAGTAAGCTTAATCGATCAATCTCCTCAAATTTTTTGGATCGCTTAATCTCAGCCATTTAACAAGGATTTTTGCGGCATTAAAGCTTAAACTAGAGATTAACTGAGTTATGGGGACTTTAATAATAGACTAGAAATAAAGTAGTACTCCGTATTACTTAATCTTAAAAAATCAATTTAATTTTACAATATCTTTATTGTTAATTTAATCAAATATTATCTTCGTTAATCGGGCATTATCTGGTGCAGTTTGATCGGATTCGAGTAAGGTGAATGATATTTTTCCAACTTTTTCAATCACAAATATTATTTTTGTTTATTAATTAGCATTTTTATTTAATAGTGTCAATATAGCTTTAGAGTAGCAGATTTTCACCGTAGAACAGTTTTTCAATTACAACTAGTGTTCGGCCCGAGTGATACTTTGAGTTATCACTTATTTGATAAAAATATTAATTAATATTTTAATTTTTATTAAATAATAATGTTAGTCTCATATACTATTTTGAGCATTTTAAAAAGATATACCCATTTTTAATATGTTCCATTTTTAACTTAATTTTTTTGAAATTAATTTGTTATGGAGTGATGACATAACACAGAATAAGGAAATCTCTACATTGAATTATTCCGTTATGATTTAAAAAAAAAAAAAAAAAAAAAAAAAAAAAAAAACTTAAATAAGATAAACTAATTTATTTTATCTGATTGATTCTATATGAGACTAATATTATGAAACAGAGGGAGTAATAGGTTAGTGGCTAACATCATTTGGCACCTAACAATCCCAATCATCATTATATAAAGCGTTTTGTATTGCTAAAATTGAAATTGAAATTAATTCGACCAAGGACATTTTTAGGACCCTAGGCGAAGTACTAGACTCCTTACTGATTGTTTAGAAAGAAGCTCCGCAACCAATTCCAACTTTTTGTTGCGTTACTGATAAACACTTACAGCATTGCCGTTTAAATTTAGGAATTTCTAACAAGTGCTTGTACATTTATAAAAATAAGTTAAAATTCAGGGGAACCTTGGAATATGTATAGTAAATTGGCCTTTAAATTAAATTGAATGAATAACACATCTGATTCCAAAAGACTAGTGTGATCAGTTAAAAAATAGATGAACATAAATTTATCAGGCCATTACAAATTATAAACTTGTTAAATTCGCATCATTGTACAAAAGATTAAACAATGCACCATCAAGATTGATGTCTTGATTAACAACGAGCCGAAATGAAACCAAAAACTTCCTCACTTCACATTAAACAGAGGAGACTCAAAATAACTATTTTACTCATAAACCAAATAAATATATAAGGTTCAAAACCAGGGAAAGAGGGAAAAAAATATGCAAAGATCTGCCAGAAAGCGTAAACAATGAAATTCTATCAGGTACAAACCAAGGAAGAGCATACTAGGCTTTAAATTACTAACATCATCAATAAATTATTAATAACCAAAATAATTTGTGCTTAGCCAAGCGATTACTTCAACGAAGAAGGAATGAAGTTCTTATTTGTAGCGTGCACATATCGACCGGAGAATTTGATCTCACAAGCTGAGGGATTTGGAATGCCAAACAATTTCTCACAAAAATCATATTCTTCTGGCATGACTATTGCTTTGTCACTCTGTACATCATACGCTTGATCAACACAAAAAGAGAGCAATTTTATCTCTGTTTTGTACTGTAAAAGAAGCCTAATCATCTCTGAATTAGGACGAATTCCTCTACACTAATTGCAGGACCTTTAAACAGGGAAAACATCTTAGAAAAACCGCCAACTGGTGCACCTCATTCAACCCAGTACAACCGATAACAGCAATGACATTTAGGCTAAGGGATTTTACACTAGAAATCAGCTTTGCGAGTTCTGCTACACTACTTCGCTGGTATTCTAAAGGAAATACTAAACGAATATCTGCTTTATCTAACGCACTTGAATCCCCAACAAAACGAAAAAGTGCCATACTAGAAGCATGTATTGTAATTTCTTCTAGATTTGACACATTCATTACAAATTTTGCTTGTAGTTGGGTTAGATAATCATACACATCATCAATAATAACCAATCTCTTGAGATTATGAGCCGATAAATCTATAAAATGCTTGCTCTTACCAGAACACTCAATGTTTACATTTTAATCTTCCAGCAATGGACAACTCCTAAAAATTACCGACCACAACTCAACAAAACCCCCAGATAAATGAAGTTTCTTCAACTTCGGAAGAGTCACAACAAATCCTTCGTCGGGACATGTAATACTAAAATCTCCGATCAGTTTAAGCTCAACTAGAGATTGGCATTGAAGAATACAAACAGGTAAAATAATCCTCTTACCTAATAAATTGGGCTGCATCATTTCCACCATAATTTGTTCCGGACTTCGGGTGTATATATTACGAATCCATGATGCTATATCTTCTTTATTTTCGTAATTATTCCACAAGAGATAAAAACGACAAATTTTCGTCGAGGTGATCTGATTAAGGATGCGATAAACAGTTGCGGAGAAATCACGAGTTGGAGGAAAAGGATTACATGTTGGGGTGATGACGATGTTGGTGATGTGAGTCTAGAGGTAACGCCATTGGCGCGATAAGACGGAGGTGGATACGGTAGATTTGATAATATACGGATTGGTTTGATCACCTTTGGTTTTGATAATATTTGATTAGTTGTGTTTTCATTAACATGAAAAATGATCTTAAACTTTTGATGTGATATCTCACATAATAAACCACCAACATATCAATAGTAAAATGGCTATCATTCATAACCAAATTAAGTAGATGACCTATATATATTTGATCTTATGAGCATTAAGAACATTTGATTCATCATTTACATAATTTTTTTGGATAAACAATTAGTTATATCTCAATAAGCTATTCAATATTGCAAATTAAATGCATGGTTTTATTATTACAAACCCGTTGATAAGAACTACACATCAGTTGATCAATGCCAAGATAATAATATTTTTTTCCGATGAGCTCTATCACCACGTATCACCATTGAACTTACAGTTTAATCAGTGCTAATAATGCATGTTGCTGCGTCTTCAATTCAACTGAGCAAGAACAAATATGATAAAATGCCTCTTTCATATCCCGTTTATTAAATAAAAAAGTGCTACTCGTGCATAATATTTATCATATGGCAGGTTGACTCATATCCCGTTTTAAATTATTTCCTTAGCTTGGAACCTATAGCCTTTTAGAGTGAATCGGTGATCGACGGTGATGCCAAGATAGATGTGTTTTTTTAGGGGAGAAGTCTTGCTAGCCGGAGGAATCGGGGATCCCACACTTGCTTATTGGGGTGAGAATTGAATCCCGGATTAAGGAGGTTCTCCAACCATTAGGCCAACAAAAAGTACTCCATAAGTCCATATAAGCAAATAATAAAATATGGAGTACAAGTACAACGTATGTGTATATGGAGTACGTATCATTATTGTCTATTAAATTTTGAGATTGTGAGGAGTCTTTTTTTTTTTAATAATAATAATCTATACTTATTATTTAAAAATAAAAACCACAACTTTTTCAAATGACACATGGCATCATAAGTCACTCATTACCCCCATATGCCACATGTCACATCCCTTAATATTTATATTTAAGTCTTCATGTATTCTACAACTTGCAAATTCAATTAAGAAAGTGAAGTGTTTCATTTCCACCATAATAAAATAAAGTTCAATTAATTAGTACACAACTACACATTACATCTATTAAAAAAAAATAAAAAATAAAAAAAATAAAAAAAAAATAAACTACGCATTACATAAATATATGAATTATAATAAAAATTGTCTTTTCATCTCATAGACTTTAAATATAATCTTAATTAATATATCATTTCATGTCCCACAATCTTTATGTATATAAATCTAACTAAATTCCTTCATCTTCTTTCACAGTTCTATCCTCACTCTTTTTTTTTTTCTTTTAAGTTATAGAAATAAAGCATACCTACATATGAAAATAATTAACCCAAGTAACAAACCGTGCATTGAACGGGCCAAAAAGCTAGTAATAATAATAATATAACTAATATATAAAGCTAAACTTTTAGCCAGGTCATGAGGTATTGACACTTGGCGTTTCAACTTTTTGCCAAGTGTCGCGCCACGCTTGATGGATTTAAATAGACGATTAAAAAGTTAATTTAAAATTCTATTTGGACACAATTTTAGGATAAAATTGTTAGTTTAGAGTTTTATTTTCAATAAAATACCAATATTTCAGAGGTATAAATTGAATTATAATTTTGTTAAAAAAATTTCAATAAAATATAGCAAATCCCAATTTCCTAACTAATTTTGTATCAATGATATATTTAAAAATTTGACATATAGATTAAAAATTTATTTTCAATAAACAACCCGGGTATCGCACGAGTATAAAACTAGTAATAATAATAATAATAATAATAATAATAATAATAATAATAATAATAATAATAATAATAATAATAATAATAATAATAATAATAATAATTATTATTATTATTATTATTATTATTATTATTATTATTATTATTATTATTATTATGAAAAAAATGTCCTAACTAATTTGCTAAAAATGCTCTTAGTTTCTTTCTTGGCTTCCTCCCTCCCCCATTTCCAGAAAATTTCTCTCTAACAACATCTCTACGTCCTCTTCATTCTAGTGTTGAATTTTTGGTGCCCTAGTCTTTCAATCATGCCTTTTTTATATTAAGGTTTTGCGCCCTTCTCTATCTTCCGATTTTATTTTATTTTTCATGTACAAGTTAATTATCTATCAAAATCATGAGATAATTAAACAATTGATGTTTAGAATTATTATTACAAAATTTAGCTACGTTTTAGATAAAGAAACTTACAATTTGCGTTATGTAATGCTCTAGGGTGTTTGTTTATATATTGCACATGTACATTTATTTGTTATGTTCAATTCAATGTTATTTATTTCTTGATATTACACAAAATTTTGATAACAAAAGTATTTAATAAAATGACGTGTCTTCTCTAGAAATCGAATAAAAGCTTTCGACTCATTCATTCGTGCATACTCCACATCGCTCATTTGGTAGAGCGTTACTCTTACAATTGTGTCATTGTTATATATGACACCTTTTTCTTATGTTAAAATGTATGTGTTCAATTAAAATCGACACAATGTCTAGAAGTCGTGTCATTCAAATTGTTGTAATAAGGCTCTCACGTACGGTTTATAGTCGATTTTGCTATGCATAACTTGTACAATTCTAGTGCAGGATTATTTTGTCAAGTTGGTGACATTTGATACAGGCAGTCGTAAATATTAATTTCGCGACTGAAGTATTGACAGTCACAAATATTCAAGAGCAAATTCAACAATTTGATGTAGTTTATAAAGATCTTACTTCCTCAATTTGCTTTAGTTGATCAACTTCTCCATGAATTTAGATATGTCAGCTTACAAATCACAGGTCATGAATGGTCAAAGAGAAAAATTTGTCAGGTATACGAACTCATAATCTTGTAGCATTATATGTTCATAATTAACATTAACTATAGGTTGCTCTGCTTTAGCATCATTCTTATATACTAATTGTTCGTGTCGAATTTTGTTACATTGATACTAACCCAAGTTGTATATCAAATTAATAAACATCTAAATGTTTATTTTAAGATATAATCTTACTAGACTAGATTTGTTTAAAAGTGTGGCATGTATAATGGTTTCTTAATTTTTGACAGACTAAATAAAATGGACTCATTCTCAACAAAGAACAATGACTCTACAAATCGTTTCGCCTTTAGTATAGAAGGACTAAAACGTAGTGTTTATAAGTCACAAAATTCAACAAGGTCTTTTAATATAGGAATGATGAAACCTCATGGACTAAGGACAATTGGTAAATCACTACGATCTGGGGTTACTCGAGCAGTGTTTCCAGAAGATCTGAAAGTGTCTGACAAGAAAGTGTTTGATCCTCAAGATAAATCTCTTCTTCTTTGGAATCGACTTTTCGTTATATCTTGCATCATTGCAGTGTCCATAGATCCTTTGTTCTTTTATCTACCTATAGTTGAACATGAGAAGAATTGCTTAGGCATGGACTATGGATTAGCTGTTACAACTACGACTTTGCGTACCATGATTGATGCTTTCTATCTTATTCACATGGCTTTTCAATTTCGTACTGCATATATTGCACCATCTTCTCGAGTCTTTGGACGTGGTGAGCTTGTTATTGATACCGGAGAGATTGCTAAACGTTACCTACTGCGCTATTTCATCATAGATTTGTTAGCTGTTCTGCCCTTACCACAGGTATTATATGTACTTGTAATATTTTCTTGATGATGTCAAGTAGAGGCAATGTTATTTCATTGATTCGTCGTTCTTGGTTGTGCAGATTGTGGTCTTAAAATACCTTGTTAAAGCTCAAGGGAAAGGTATACTAGAGACAAAGAAATGGTTGCAAATAATTGTATTTTCACAATACATTTTTAGATTTGCTAGGTTTTATCCTCTTACTTCAGACTTGAAAAAGACTGCTGGTGTCTTTGCTGAAAGTGCTTGGCTTGGAGCTGCTTATTACTTGCTGTGGTACTTGCTCTCTAGTCATGTAAGCACGTTAATTTGTTATTTCAATCATTGTAAGTGTGTTCTAGTCTTGTTGTGGTACGTTTTTGGTAAGTGGAACAGGCATGGGAAACACAATTTGCTACCTGATTTTGTTAAACTAGTCTTAAAATGTACCACTAGGCCATGTACCATGTACCAATTCGTAGTTTGTGGGGGTATTATTGAATTTGGTAACAATGGTCGGGTTTGTTTGTTTTAGTCTTGAAGGCTATATGCTAAGTATCGAAAACATCATTGCAGATTGCTGGGGCGCTGTGGTATTTATTTGCTGTGGAACGTATAGACACATGTTGGAAAAATGCATGTCAAAGTCAAGGTGATAAATGTGATAACGATTTTTTGTATTGTGGGAATCATGATATGGCTACTTTTGAGGTATGGCAAAATATTAGTGTGGATGTTCTTAATAAGATGTGCTCAGTTGAGGAAGAAGATTCAAACTTCAACTTTGGAATCTATACACAAGCACAATCCTCTAAAATCGTCGAATCTCAAACTTTTGTCAATAAATTTTGCTACTGCCTCTGGTGGGGTCTTCAGAATCTAAGGTTATTCACAACCACTAAGCATTTCTAGTTCTGCTAAACATGTTAGCTATTTAGCCTTACTTTTTAACTCGTACATTTGTTGTATTAACAGCTCAAAAACGTTAATTTTTGCAGTACATTGGGTCAAGGGCTACAAACTAGTACCTATCCAGGGGAAATTATATTCTCTATATGTCTTGCTATATCCGGTCTTATTCTTTTTGCGCTTCTGATTGGAAACATGCAGGTATTTCCTGTTTCATACACGATTTTCTGTTGATTACTAGTCAGGTTTACCTGAAATTGACATATATTATTAAACCAAATAGGCTTAATTTTATGAAAGAGGTGTGGCTTCTAACTCTGTAACCTCATGCTGTTGTTTGCAGACGTATCTACAATCACTTACTGTTAGGCTAGAGGAGATGAGAATAAAGAGGCGCGATTCAGAGCAATGGATGCATCATCGTTTACTGCCACAAGTTCTTAGGGAACGAGTAAGACGATATAACCAATACAAGTGGTTAGAAACACGAGGAGTTGATGAAGAGATCTTGGTTCAGAGTCTACCAAAAGATCTTAGAAGGGACATCAAACGCCATCTCTGTTTAAATCTAGTCAGAAGAGTAAGTGTCTGAACTGTCAACTATACTAATTATCTGAATGTTTTCTTTGAATTTTGGTGGCTCTAACTTCAACTTAATATGTATATCAATTGTGCTCGGTATCTTTAGGTTCCCTTATTTGCAAATATGGATGAAAGGTTGCTCGATGCCATTTGTGAACGACTGAAGCCTAGCTTATACACCGAAAACACCTTCATTGTCAGAGAAGGAGATCCAGTCGACGAAATGATCTTCATCATAAGGGGACACCTAGAAAGTGTGACAACAGATGGTGGAAGAAGTGGATTTTACAACCGAGGATTGTTAAAGGAAGGAGACTTTTGTGGTGAAGAGCTTTTAACATGGGCCTTAGACCCTAAATCCAGCATAAATTTACCATTGTCAACAAGAACTGTGAAAGCTCTAACAGAAGTAGAGGCCTTCGCTTTAAGAGCAGAAGAGCTGAAATTTGTTGCAGGGCAGTTTCGAAGACTTCACAGTAAACAGGTGCAGCACACCTTCCGGTTCTACTCTCAGCAGTGGAGGACTTGGGCAGCTTGCTTTATACAAGCTGCTTGGAGACGCCACATGAGGAGGAAGATAGCTGAGCTTCGACGATTAGAAGAAGGGGAGGAAGAGGATTATGGTGATTATTTAGAACATGGAAGCAGGTCAAGTAAGAAGCGTAGAGCCAAGGGTGATGAAAATGGCTCTAGCCTTGGTGCTACCATCTTTGCCTCAAGGTTCGCTAGGAACGCTCTTCGTGGGGTTCATAGACTTCGTAGTGGGAACAACACCACCGGCTTGGCGTTGCAGAAGCCTCCTGAACCTGACTTCTCCAATATTGATTGAGGTTTGTAGTCATGATTTTAGTTAGCAGTATAACCTATGTTATGTGATAGAGTTATACTATGTTTTGCTCGGGTCAATTAAATTGTATAGATACTTATATAGTTTGAATGGTATAAGGTGATATAGAATGTACTTTGTATCATTTGTGTGTTACATTTAGAAATGACTAGAGGAAATTGCCTAGAAAATAAGATAATTGAAATTTAAAGAGGCAATCAAAGAGAGATGAAGCATATGAAGTATGAACTTGATGATTGTAGGTGAAACAAAGAATTTGACTCCATGATCTTGTTATAATTTAGGTGTACTCGGTTAAATCGTGTCATCGTGAGGAACCAAATTTGTTTAACGTCTTGCATATAATTTATTTGAATTCTTCGAAACACCCCCTAATCCCAAATCTTTTTTTTCGTTCCTGTTCACAATCTCCATAGTGCAAAATTTTGTTCTCAAATTTGCATTTCAGAAAAGCTAATCTTTACATGATTAATAAAATTTATTTGCCACTTCATTTGAATCTTGTTTTTTTCGTAATTCTTTTGTTATTATTTTACTAAAAGACATAAAAAAAAAAGAAGTAATTGCTTCTTTTAAAATAAAACAATACAATTCCTCAAAAAAAAAAAAAAAAAAAAACAATACAATTTGTCCCTATAAATGCTTAATAACAATGACTTTTTCTTATACCTATAACTTTTTTTAATTCTTAAATAGAAAGTTCTCTTGATTTTAGTTTTCAAGAAAAGATGAAGGAAATAAACAATGTTTATTGGCACTATCAAGATTTTTAATTTTAATCAAACTCATTCTAATGGATTTTGTAATGGACCGTTTTTCATGAGTGGGCCCGTCTTCTTTTAGAAATAGAAGTATGTTTGGGCTAGGAATTCTAAGAACTTTCGTCCAATCCTTTGATTCTCAACTGCCAACTCGCTTAAGCTTAAGCACATTGATCGTCAATTAGTAGTGACAAAATTAATTTGTTATTCTCAAATTTCACTGTTCAAATGTTCCATTCAGGGGGTGTTTGTGGACTCATATTTGATGGGAGCGTTGTTACTTTTTAAGTATAACTCCGGACACTGGTGAGTTTGTTCTGTAAGGCACTTAAACGGATAACACAAAGTTTTATGTGGCTGGCCACACCGTGTGGTCAGCGCTAGACACTATAGGGATTACTTTGCTAGTGTAATGGGGGTTACTTGGTCAATATTAAAGGGGTTACTTCGTCATTGTTATGAAGTTACTCAGTCAGTGTTATAGGGGTAGTGTAATGGGGGTTACTTAGTCAGTATTAAAGGGGTTATTTGGTCATGGTTATAGAGTTACTGAGTCAGTGTTATAGGGGTTACTCAATCAGTATAGAGGTTATTTAATAAATGTTATAGGGGTTAATTTAAGTGGTCACACGGTGTGGCCGGATGCACACAAGACGGACTAAACAGATAAAGTATGAGCTTTAACTTATAATGTCTCATAAACTAATTCAATGTATCACAAATTGGTTTAATTAGAATGATCTCTAAATGAGATTTGATATGAGATTTTAGTTTTAGCGTGTTTATTACAATGAACTATCATTGTCCATTATTAACGAGTAGAGTTTTTGAGTTTTTTGTGGTTGAAATATTGTTCGTTACCTTGCTTGGAACTAATTGCCTAGTAGCCTTGAATTGGAGCAACTTCTTTAGTTCTTTATAATGTCATAAGATTTCAATTGGCAATGGGCAAATGATACCCTCTTTTACACTTAATAAAAGTTAGATTATTGAATTGGATACGATAGTCGATCATCTAGTGGGGTTGCTTTTTTTTTTTTTTCCTAAGCTTTCTTGATTTGCATTATTTTATAATTTTTTTTGGCTCTCAAAAGCTAACTTTTCTTTTGTTTGTGATTGGAAATTGATTGTCTTGAATAACAAACAATTGGACAAAACAAAGAGGACAAGCTTTAACTCCACCAAAAATAAAGTAACTTTACTGGCCAATTGATACATCAACTAGGGCTAAAATTAAGAAGCTTTATTTTGAGTTTTTTTTAGCTTTTTTCCTATTTCTCATGTTAAGAGAGCCGGGAATGCCGTGGTCCATCTAGTAGCTAGATGGGATACAAATAATTGTTCCGAACGTGTTTGTATGAACTCTTTCCCCCAAAGTATCTTAACTTTGGCGGAACTTAATTTGCAATAAATTTTCCGGCTAACTTTTCCTCAAAAAAAAAAAAACAAAGCTCTTAGTTTCGATATGTTAGCTATCTAGCATGAAAGAAACAATAAAATTAGAATCGAAAGCACACGTAATCTATCGTTAACGGAATTTTTAACAAATTTTACACTAACAAGAAGTCACATAATTAATTAACATTTTACCATATGATACAGTTATATATATGCTTCCTTGTGTATATAACTCTATGCATTTTATAAATATGTTTAATTTTTAATATTTAAAATCATAAAACATTATATTTAGATTATATTAATCGATACAAATTTAACAAGATCATATATGACTATATTCATTTATGTATAAATCACAATTGAAATGATTAAAAAAACTCAATATGAATATTGTAAAAGTTAAACAAAGGAGCTAGGAGGTTTCTTTGGCATTGGCCTACTTATGATTCATCGCTTGTCATTACACACTTGATGATATAATCTTCATGAATTATTGTATGCTCAATTAATTCCACATTATAAGATAATATATTTTCTTTATTTTTTTTTAGACAATTTCTTTACCAATTAGAAAACCATCACAAAACTCATGCACTCACACTTAGCACTGTCAAAACGGTTTGACAGTTCGGTTTCGGTTCGGTTTGAAATCGGTTCTGTATTTAATCGGGTCGGTTTGGAATCGGTTTAATTGTCTCACGGGTCGGTTTTGGTTCGGTTTAATAGTTATCGGTTCGATTCGGTTCCAGTTTATACTTAAGCGGTTTTAATTCGGTTCGGGTTGTAAACAGTCCGGGTAGTAAACGGTTCGGTGTAGACGGGTTGCGGTTTGTTAACGGTGCGGTGTAAACGGTTTTTATCCCGGTTCAAACAGTTTCGGGTTGGAAACGGTTTCGGGTTAGAAACAATTCAGTTCTTTTTTGGTTCAGTTTATAACTGGTTCGGTTCTTTTTTAGTTCAGTTTTTAATAACTGGTTCGGTTCTTTTTCGGTTCAGTTTATAACTGGTTCGGTTCTTCGATTGTTTAACCACTTTAACGTTATTCATATCGGTTCCATTTCAAGTTTACTAAATTATAGTTGAATCTGAATTAAAACATAGCCTAATAGTATATTCATGTCACTAGCACACTCCCATCTTTATTTCATTATTACTCACAGAATCAATGTAATCATATGCTTAATAGTCTCTGTGAATTAATTTTATTTATTACGCCTTTAGCCAAGCCTTGGTACTTAATATTACAGGCTTTTTGTTCATTTGGTTTCATCACCTCAAATGTATACATGACTAGAGGCAGTAGTGTTGCTAATAGTTTGAGGCAGGGCCTGAGCCTGCTTGTTTTGCTCTTGTTTGTGAACACTGATTATCCTTAAGACCTTAATGAATGATTTGCCTTGCTATTTAAAAAAAAATATTCTAAGATTTCTAATATTTAATCCATTTAATTATATCCCCGTCAAAAAAAAAAATCCATTTAATTATATAAAAAAGTTTGTAAACGGTTCGATTTAGAAGCGGTTTGGTTCATAAACGGTTCAGTTTATAACGAGTTCGGTTTACAATCAGTTCGGTTTTTAAATGGTTCGGTGCAAACGGGTAGCAGTTTGCTAACGGTTCAGTGTAAGCGGTTTTTTTGCCAGTTTAAACGGTTTCGGGTTGGAACCGGTTTCGGGTTAGATACGGTTCGGTTATTTTTCGGTTCGGTTTTCTTTTAGTTCGGTTTATATTCGGTTTGGTTTGTTAACGGGTTCGGTTCTTATAGGGTTTAACATTATTCGGGTCGATTCGGTTACTAAAATACGGTTCGGGTCGGTTTTCGGTTTCAAAAAAATCGGTTTTTAATCGGTTCGGGTCTCATTTGGGTCGGTCGGTTTTGGGCAGTTAAACGGTTTCGGTTTGAAATTTGACAGCACTACTCACACTTAATCATCCTTTATCTGACCACAACCCCACCCCTCACTATCTCCCCTTGCTTATTTATCAAAGTCTATTCCACTAACTTTGCCATATCCTATCATCCACACCTTCAATCAATAACAACCATGTCCACAACACCACCGCCAATACCGAAACTAGAAGATAATCATCAATCTTTACCTCCTACAGTGGCGTCATGGACAACATACTTGGTCCAAGATGTTACTTTTGAGCTAAGGAAGCAACGGGGGATAGCGGTCCCACTGGTGTGTTAAAAATGTAATCTAGAAAAATCTAATTAGTAAAATCTACAATTAGCTAGATATTTCTAGAATAGTCTAGTGTCTTAAGAGAAATCTAGAGAAAGCTAGTAGATAAGAGTAGAGTAGTATGTCGGTGAAGGAGCATGTAAACCGACCTACACCACTATATATACTAGCACTTGGTCATGCAAATGTAAGCTATCCCCATGCAATAATACTTCAAATTTTATCCCACCACTACTTCCACTCACCTAAATTCTAACATTTGGTATCAGAGCCACAATACCCATACCTTCCTCTAATATCATACACATATTATCCCAAACACAACATAATATATAATGGCCAATAACAATGTGAGTTTTCCCATTCCAACTTTTGGGGGAGAAAGTTATGATTTTTGGAAAATTAAAATGAAGACGATGCTAAGGTCATATGGACTATGGAGCTATGCCGACAAAGGTTATAATGAACCTGAAGATGAAAGCAGCCTAAGTGATGCTCAAAGGAAGAGACTTGAGGAGGAAATGATGGAGGATGCAAAGGCATTATATCTCATACAAAATGCGGTGAAAGATACCATTTTTCCAAGAATTATGAGGGCTAATACAGCAAAGGAGGCATGGGAGATTCTACAACAAGAGTTCTAGGGAGATAGCAAGGTGAGAAGTATTAAACTTCAATCTTTAAGAAGAGATTTTGAAAATTTAAGGATGAAAGATAATGACTTGGTTAAAGATTATTTTTCAAGAATTATTGAGATTGTTAATCAAATGAAATCATATGGAGAAGAAATTTCGGATGAAAAAATTGTGAAGAAAATTCTAGTATCATTAAATGACAAATTTGACAATATAGTTACAATAATTGAAGAAACAAAAGATTTATCCAACATAACTGTTGAACAACTTATGGGATCTCTGGAGTCCCATGAACAAAGAAAAATTCGTCAAAGTAATGATGAAGACATGATAGAGACCGCGCTTGCAGCAAAATTTTCCCTTAAACTAGGGGAAATCAAG